TGGAGATCTCCTAGGTGTATGCGTGACGACGCATTAGATGATTGATATGCATTGATATCTGTCATGAGATGCATTTATTGCATGATTATTAATATGATGAAGTGTGGTGTTTGACTTCATGATTGGCGGATTGTATTTTATGCATAAGTAGTATTGAATAGAGTGTATGGTGTGACTCTATGAATATGATTGATAGTTGGATGATGTGTAGCATAGATTTTATTCTGTACTTGTATGATTGGTTTTGAACTCTAGCTTACCCTTCTATTTTCATGTGGTGGAACTGCGATGATCATACTTGGTATGGGAGCAGGTCAGGGCTAGCTTGGAGTTGAGGTGTCCGTTGCGAGACAGGGAGTTTTGATGCTCGTGTTAGAGTTACCATTTTGGGTAACGGTTTGTCTTGATGTGCAAGTGAAGGAGAACCTGACGTTTGAGAAGTTGCTCGTAGCTGTGGTTGATCATAAGCTGAAGGAGTTGAGGGGCAAGTCTATTGTTCTGGTGAAGGTATTGTGGAATGCAGCTACCGGTGAGGCTACTTGGGAGGTGGAACATCAGTGCAGGGAGCGGTATCCATTTCTTTTCCCAAGTAAGTCTGTTTTCGGGGACGAAAACTTTTGTTGTTGGGGAGGTTGTGAGACCCCTTCCCTCTTCTTTTCCTTCCCCAAACTTCAGAACCATCACTCTCAATTCTCTCTTTTCTTTTGCTGGCTTTTGGTCTCAAATTCTCTAGACTCTCTGGGTGTGTAGGTGCTGACCAAGTTTAGAAGAGCTAGCTGATCCGTGTGGAACTCTTCCTTTCTCAAGCTCTCTCCTCTTCACTTCTCCTTCTTGTTGTTCTTCTTCCCGGAAGCTCGGAATCTTTGCCCGAGGTAAGGGAAGCTAGTTTTCTTGTTGCGTTTTGGCTGAAAATGGGTCTAAGAACTCATTTGGTTGTTTATGATTGCTGATTCTTTACTGATCGGGTGGAAATTTGAGTTTTTGGGGTGTTTGGGGTTTTGAGAAAAATTTGGGGTTTTTCTTATTTTATTGTTGCATGTGTAAAAAGGTGGTGTTTTTGGACTCTTGGATGAAAATGTGGTACTTTGAACCGTTTGCATGCTGGGTTTCTGATTGTTTTGCAGGTTTGGGTGAAATTTTCGAACTTGCTGGTGTTGCTGCTAAGCTTCGCGCTGAGCGCAGTTCTTCGCACCGTGCGCATGGCTACCAGGGGACTCCATTTAGGCAAGCCCGTCGGGCGCAATGATGGGTGCGCCAGGCGCGCTTGGGAATGTGGATCTCTGGCTAGTCCGCGCTGGGCCTGACTTGGACCGCGCTGGGCGCGATAGCAGTTGTACCCTGATTTGGGCTTTTTGATTTTGCGCTGAGCGCGACCCTTGTCGCGCTGGGCGTGAGACTCCTTGGGAGTCTTTGCCTTGAGGGCGCTGGGCGCGAGACCAAGGGAGGTCTCTGCCTTCCCCGCGCAGGGCGTGGGTTTGGGCACGCTAGGCGCGTAAGACTCCATGGAGTCTCTACCTGGCATGCGCTGGGCGCAATTGGTATTGCACCAGGCGCGAGTGAGCCTTGGGCTCTCTGGTTGGGTCCCTGCATGCACTGGGCGCAATTGGTATTGCGCCAGGCGCGAGTGAGCCTTGGGCTCTATGGTTGGGTCCCGTCGGGCGCGGGCATGCTTGCGCTGGGCGCGTTGGCCCCTTGGTGCTCTCTAGTTGCACTGCACCGGGCGTAACCACGAGTGCGTCGGGCGCATAGATGATAATTCACTATATGCTGTACAATGTTGTTTTGTGCTGAGATAAGTTGAAGTTGATGATTATGATGTGATGACTAGTAGATAAAGTTGTTTGATGATGTTGAGTTGTATCAGATGAATATTGTTGTAAGATGTCTTGATGTGCTGTAAGATGATATGTTGTGCTGTAAAGTTGTGTTGTGTTGTATGATGATATGAGATGTTGTAGGCCGAAGGGCTGAGTTGTTGTAGGCCGAAAGGCTGTGTTGTTGTAGGAGATCTCCGAGATGATATGCGTGACGACGCATTGTTTGCCATTTGCTGGTTTGTTGTACATTCGATGAGATGTAGGCTGACGATGTGTTGATAGTTTTAGTTGTTCATATTACTTAAATCTTGCTATACGTTGTTCTTTTTATACTAGCTTACCCTTTGTGTTTCCATGTGGTTGGACTGCTATGATCGTATTATGTACGGGAGCAGAGCAGGAATAGGTGGGTGGCTAGTGGTGAGTCTGCAGCTAGCAGGCGGAGCTGATCCTGGTAAATGTTTTGTTGTTTCAGCTACTTGGTGTAGTAGCTTGGATGTGTTTTTTTGTACATTTTGAATCTAGTCAGACTTGGATCATGTATATATGTATATATGTATATTCTAGACACTATATGTATGCACTTGTTCCTTTCTGTCCGGTTTTTCAGGTGTACTGTGTAGTGTGTAGTGACCAGCCGGGTCGTTACCTCAATTAGGTGACCAATTTGATAAATATAGAAGGTGAGTTCGGGTAAATGATCTTTTGTGTCAAAAGTTCTTCTAATGGTAGATTCATATATGAAAGAGAGTTTTCATGGTGATATAGAGGGTTAAGAAGGCTAATGTGAATTAACGATGAAGTGGTGATACAAATACTTAAATATGATTGAACTTTATAATCCATATATAAATTGTATGGATATAAAAGAATAGAACCACGAGAGTACTACGTGTACTTTTTCTCAAATAGTAAATTGCACTTTCAACTGGACTAAGGAACAGAGAAAAACCAGTTTCAATAGTAACCCAATAAAGAGAAAGGATATAGCATTCAAAAAAAAAAAAAAAAAAAAAGTAGCAGGACCAATGTTTTTTAATTACTACCTCAAGGCCAGCTCTTGCCAATGTTCAATGTATAGAGTGGAATTTACAATATACACTATGTACTTAAAACCAACATCAGTATGATAATGATTATTTATGCAAAGTATAATTCTATTCCTCAGACTCAGAATCCAAATCAATTGGACATGTTCCATCATCTACATTGGCTAGTGGGTTGTACAGGTGCGAACTAGGATCTGTGCATCCTGGAACAAGATTCAGTTCGCAACGATCACCCTGCAGGGAAGTTTTTATTCACCGTTAGGAAACTGAAAGTGTTCCAATGAGTAGCAGTATTTTAAAGAGAAAATACTTTGAGGAATGGAAGAATGTGCTCACCCCTTCTTTTGACAAATTACCAATCATGGCACATCTGGTTATAACTTTAGTTGTGTCTGGAAATATTGCTTTCTCACATGCTCCTTCTTTACTCAGTTCCTCTGCCAAGCCCTACCACAGAATAGTACACCCAATTCAGGGTCATGTTAACTGATGCTCAAAAGGATTCCAGTGTTGTATATTTTCGGTTTCTTATAATACTCCACTAATTAGTGTCAATATTGATGCACTAAATTCTCACAAGCTTGGTTATACTTGTTTTGTCATATGGAAACAATAGATAAAATCCATTCCTTCACCACTTGACTGATGTTATCCTTATAATAGTTTTGCTATCAACTGCTGTTTAGAATGAAAAATTTTGTCATTTTAAAATCAAATTGAGACTGTCAAACATATATGTGCTTTAGTCATTACTTTCGTCTCATAACTTCAGAAGAAAGATTGGGAGTTTGATTATAAGAATTTTTTTTTTTTTGGATACAGTAATTGGTGTAGTTTTCCAATCAATTTAAAGTTTTATTTTCAATAATACACGTTAATATTTAATAAAATTATTTATTACGCAAATGATCGAGATACTAATTCTGATTGGTAAACAGCAAAACAATAACATGGTACTATAAGTAAGCTTTATCCGATTATAAAGTTAGAGCGATTTGTGTACTAAGCTAGAGGCACTTGAATTAGAGGGGAAAGGTTTGCCCATTTACCTTATTAAAGAAGTCAATTGCCTTGTTCTGGAAAGGCTTGGGAACTTGAAATTGCAGTCTATATGGACCATCCCAGTCTACTCCATTTGTAAATGAGAAGATCAAGTTCACAGCTGCACAAAAAAAGAGAAGTTTAACAAGAAAACATTGATTGGTTTTGTCAGCAAATATATTGAGGAACAAGAGTACCATATTACCATGCTTAGGAATGCATATTTGAATGGTATATATTGGGGCATCAGCTTTGCCTCGATCTTTTCTAAGCATTGCCCTTGGCTCACCACCACACATAATTGGCTGATTAAAACCTCCTGAATGGATGAAATTTTAGAAGTCAGTGAGAAAAAAACGACCAGAAAAAAGAATGAGTATGACATACTAGCCTCCACAATGTATTCATTACAACAATAAGATATTAGGCAAAATTACATGATCTCTTACATATTGATGATCAATGCCAGTTGAAACTTCTTATATACCAGATTAGGCCGGGTGAGGTATGATGGAACCTTCCTTGAGGCTCAAAAAAAATTTCCATAATTTTCATATAACATTATTTCAATGACTTATAACATCCAATGCCAATTCTGAATTACAATTGGTAATTTATATAGCTAGTTCTTGAAATATTCTATGTCTGTTTTTAATGAATTCAAATATTTTGCCTTACAAATGTTAAGGAAGGTGAATTTTTGGGCAAACAAGCGACGTCACAAAAATTACCATTAAAAGCAATTCCAAATTCTTCACTAGGGGCAAGTTGAGCTGCATCTGGATTATAGAAAAGTTTTAGCTTTTCTCCCTGCCAAAATTTGTAAAAAAAAATTACTAAAAGGTTGTGGCTTAAGTAACTCGCAATGAGTTAATACTTTTATACTCACTGAAGTAGGAGGGAGGCCATTCATGGTTTTCCAATAGACAGGAGCCCTCCCAATTTCAAACACAGCCCATGAAGGAAGCTTGTACCTGTAAACATTGATAGCAAACAATGGTATTGTAATAAGGTTATCCAAAACTATACTTTATTCTTGGGAAACAAAAGATTCTTAGAACACAAAGAACACTATAACTTGAACACCATCCCTATCACGCCCTTTCATTATTTAGTTTCCAATATATAATGCCTTTCATAATGGGCAAGCAAAAGCAAACGTCTACAAATGTCTCATCTTCCTTTCTCAAAAGACAAAAATAGTAAATGGTATTAACAAGGGGAATTCATACTCTTGAATTTCCTCATTTGTTGTTGTTGTTGTTGCAACAGCAGCAGCACTGATTTTTTGGCTAAATTTCACATGCCTTTTCTTATCAAGGTAACATCTCGGTAATGACACATTGAGAAAAGGACTAGCTGCACGAGAAATGATAAGCGTTACATTTGAAAGAGCATAGACTAGTTTAGCTATTCTGATATGCTAGGTGGTTCACACTCCTTTTTACTAACCAATATTGGTCCTAAAGTTACAAGATTAACATGGATGTTGGTATACCATACGGATATTATTAAGATGAGAATTTGACATTCAGACTATGATGCAGAAGGGGAAATGCCTATGCAGAAATCTGATAAAAGAAACTAATTTTGCAGGATCCTCAATAAGTATATTCTCTTTTGCTGTAACCAGGTGTTATCCACACCTATGAACCTGCCAACAAGATTTAAATGGTTTGTAGATAATCGTGTCCCTTAAACATGTAGTTAGAGTGTTGGATCCTGAGTCTATGTGTATAGAACAATTTAGACCCGTGAACCTGACTAATCACCCTTTGCATTGGGTCGACCCATTAAGGAGTAAAGTACTCCAAATTGTTGTGATTCCATACTCAAGGGTAGATGGATCCCACAACTTAAGTTAAGGGATGAGAGTATGAAATCACCCACACAATTAACATTTGGTTCTTAATAAGTATATTCTGAGTAGCTATAATTTTATTTTATTTTGTCCTAGCACGGTATCTTCTAGTTGTGAATTAGAAACTAATCTCACTCCATAGTTTTTGTACATACTGAGAATCGGTTCACAACTAAATAGATTGTCCCAGGAATGTGAGAGTAACTATAATTTAACCAAGCCTTTTCCTTCCCTTGCGTCAATCAAGGGATTTTGTATTATGAAACGTCTTATGGAATTTGAATGTTTATAACAACCCAACAGCTACTTCTTTTTCCAACAAATTGAGAAATCATTTAAGGAAAGAATTGTCAAAAGTCAGACAGTATAAGGCTGATAGCGAGTATCTGTGAGAACAGAAAACATTTAAGCTTTATTAAAGTTCTTATCCACTCTCAATGCAATGATAACTTATTTTGATTCCTGGTATGGTGGAGAAACTAAATTCTTCTAGGACTCTTAACAGAGCAATAACCACAGTGAAGACAGATATAATTATATAAAACTAAGTAACCATAATAAAAGAAATATTGAAAGATGCAATTAAAATGAAATAAATGCATACTAGAGAGACATACCAAGCGTGTTTGAAATGCTAGGAGGTACGGGCAAGCATGGTTGCGTGGAAGACGCAAAGATTGACGCATTGGTTGCAGCCATGTATCACACTATTTTGGTGCGTGCTTGCTATTCACAATTCAGAGACGTAGTGATATCTAAGAGGTGAACGTGTCCAAATTTATAATAGCCAAGAGATAACAAGAGATAAATGATATTTTCCAGGGTGCGAACGCGAAATGCCATATGTCAAGACAAATTAAGCAAAGATATTTAACAAGATATTAGTCAAGTTTGGTATCGGTTTTCGAAACAAAAAATATATATAAAAATAGCTTTTAAAAAAATATATTTAAAAATAATTCACCAAAATATTATTACACCAATCACAATATTTTATTTTAGTCACTAAAATAACATCTTTAATTTTAGAATTATATAATCTTTTTTAGTATTGAATAAAGAAATATTATCGCAAAAAATTGACTATAAAAGTATAATTATATTTAGTGATTTCTTTTTAGTGAAGTGTAGAAAAAATTATTACATCTATCATAATATCCTATTTTATGTACAAAAATATTTAAAAAATAATAATTCAAAATAATAATTTGTAATTATTATGACTGTTATACTTAGTGGAATCATCATTTATTAACAACAAAAATACAACTAATTACTTGGAATTATATACTAACATTATTAGGATATGTACACTATAACATGTATATAAATATAAATGCAACTAAAAGAACTACACAAGTATATATACTATAATCTAATAAGTAAAGAACATAAAACCCTAAGTCACTGGTCAAGTAACGTTTATATTGACCTCAAAAATAGTCCAAGACTACTCTGTCAAAATATATAGCCCATCAAAAACTCTCATAGCTCAACTCCAGCTAACCTTGCCTTGCTCCCATGAGAATCATGATCATCACAATTTCAACCACAAGGAAAACATGTAAGGATAAGTTAAATTTAAAAAACAAAGCAAGTATAGGAATAAAACATCTATACTCAACATCATCATGCAAATCAAGCTAGCACATCATAAGATTCACATCCAACAACAATTACCACATTTGAAAGCTAAAACACTTAAGCAATCAAACTTACACCATGATCATATCACACGACTACATAATCTTCTAATGCATATGAACAACAACAATAATTCACATCATATCACATGCATATTCAAAAATTAATACGTTGTTAGACATTTACTTACAGAGATCTCCTAATACACTAAAACAATCTAAGTGGCTTGATTCTATTGAATCAATCTTGAACGCTTTCATGCCATATGTGCCTATTGGACCCACAACTAAAATGAAATACCAATCCATCTTTTAATTTCTTAGATGTTGCCACTTACATTAGAAAAGTTTGGTTCCACCATCAAGAATAGTATAGTTGAGTATATGCATTCCACGACCTTGACATACATTACCAAATCACTTATGGAATTAACCTACTAATTATCTGTAAGGAATCACACAATCTTTTCAGTAATGAGTTAAGGGTTGTAGCACTCAACTTCATATTTTACTCCACATTAACTAAGAATTTAGAGGAGATTCAACAAAATCCACTCTAAGAGTTTCACACCTACTAAAGGAGGATTATCCACAATTGGCCTCCTAGAGCCCCAAAATAAGATTTCGTATGTGGGATCTTTAACTTTTTAAACAATATTCTCTCCTCTAGTCCTAAGTCAATCAACATGTTTTAATGTCCACAAGATTCTTAGCATCAGCAACTCAACATACATCTTCTATATGTTGGTCCCAGTGTACTAGAATTTAGAAGGGGGGTTGAATAGATTTTATCCTAAGATTGCTCTCTTTTTCACGATTCTTGAAAATTATCCTCTCAATAAATCTAAAATACAACCTTTATGCCATTTGAGTAACAAACAACAGTAGATTACAAGGTTTTTTACTGACATAGCAGAATATCAAAGTATGAGCAGCGAATCAATCACTTGTAATCAAGATTGATTTTATATTACCTTCCTTTTACACAAGTTCTTTCAAGAATTGAGATCAGAATTGGTACTGTAATTGAAATTTCGTTTTTCCAAATCTTTAAAATTGTTAAAACAAGAATTTAACAAGATTCTTTAAAGATAAGGGTTAGAAGATGAATAACACATAAATTTACACTGGTTCAGCCACCCACTTGGCCTACATCCAGTTTTCCTTGATTTAGCACCTCACCAAATCAAAGATCATTCACTATAATATTATTTATAAACACCTTGCACACACAATATTACAAGAATATCAAACACACATCAATCTTGACACCACAAGATTGAAAACAATCAAAATTTATGTACCCTACAGAAATTACTTGAGAAACCCTTCTCAAGATTTCACCATCTCTTGTTGAGATACCCTATCTCAAGAGATGCACCAGTCAAAAACGAAAATACAAGTTTTAAGATCAGAGTAATATCACCCAATTATGTGAATATGTTGATCTTTCACTCTTGAATAGAGTTCTTGAATATCTTCTTTCAAGAGTTCATGTCCTATCTTTGCACTTCTTGAAATTTTCAGAAAGTTTCTTGGGTAACACCTTTTTTCTTTGTTTATGAAAATATTTCTTTTCATAAGATTTCAAAAGTTCTTTTGGGTCTCCTTTTAAATTTCAAAAAGATTGATTTTATAGAGTGCAAGACGTAATTTAGTTATAAAAAGTAATAACAGAAGTAATCTATTACCAGTAATGGTAATCTGTTACCTGCTCTTTAAAATTGAATCAGAACATGAAATTGTCCAAGGTAATTGATTATCTCAAGTGGTAATTGATTATCCCGAGCTTGAAAAGTACCAAAATTGTATTTCACTCTGTGGTAATCAATTGTCTATCTTGGTAATCGATTAACACGAATAAAACTTCATTTTTTTAGCCTGATTCTAAGCAAGAGACTTTGTTTTAATCTATTACCAACTTTGATAATTTGTTACCTCAGAGAATTCTTTAAAACCAGGTTCAGTAACAGACTTGGTAATCTATTAACACAGAGGACATTTGAATATCCTTTTCTAGTAACATGTTTGGTAATCTATTACCCTGAATGGTAATTTGATTAACAAAGTTACTTTGAAAACTCTTGTTTGAAGAAAGTTCTATTTTTATGTTTAAACACTTGGTAGTACATTACCCTTTTCAAGATAATCTATTACTTCATGCTTACTTATAGAAATACTTAAAAAAACAAATTCTTGGATTTTAAAAGCTTGACAGATTCTTGAATTAAGCATACATCATCAAACATAAACAAACACACACAAGCCTATATCTATTACAATCAATACAATATCCTTTTACATAGGCTCAAACATCATTTATACAATATCATCAAAGCTAAAACTTCTTGAGGGGTCTTCTTGTCATCTCAATGATCTTCATCATCTCAACCATCTCCAACAATCTCTAACACTATATACATTATCTTAGATCAATGCATATAGAGATCAAATCACACGAATCATGTATAGCATATCAATGCTTAACACCTAACCAAGAACAACATACTAATGCTCAACATGCAGTCCAATTATAACACACCAATGTTTACCAATTCATTCAAGAATAATATATCAATCACACACAACACATCAATGCTCATCACCATTTCAACTACACAAATATAACATACCAATGATTTTTATCATCATCCTACATCACACAACATGCAATAGACTTAAGCATTATATTCATGTTCACCATACAACATTTAATCATCAACAATTAAATCATCATCATACATTATCCCTAATCAATGTACAATCAACATAAGGTATTAAGTTAACTTCCATTCTTGCTTCATATAACATCCATCTTATGAAACAAAGAAGGTTCCACGTGCTTCAATTGCCTCCAATCCTTGCTCTAATCGATGCCATTTTGCTTTGAGTGCCTCGAAAATCACTTGAAGCGAGCTTAGACAATGAGCACCTTTAGAGTCTCATTTTGATCACTTCAAGTGACATCACCCTCGCCCTAGGTGATCGAATTCACTCAAAGAACTCCTTAATTTGCTTTAAGCAAACAAAGTCAAGGACTACCCCTAAACTTTCACCTCCACTTACTCTAAGCGAGTGAGTCCTCACTCTAAGCCACTGAAACTTGCTCTTAGCAACCACAAGTCACTCAAAGCAAGCAAATTCAGAGATCATCCTTGAGCACCAAAACTTAGATTTCCAACCTCCAAATGCATGAATCACTACATTAAGAATCAAAGGAATCTCTCACGCCTTTGGAAAATCTAGAAGAAAGAAGAAGTTTCAGAATTATAGAGTTTCTCACTTTAGTCTCTCTCTAAGGTCTTTGAGAAATTGAGTTTATAATGTTCAATTCTTATAAGAAACATTATATATTTCCCCTTTTCAGGACCAACTAAACCTTATGCAAGAGACCTTCTCAAACTCACCCAAGATACAATACTAAGCCAGAGTACAATGTTACACACTCTATTAAAAGAAGAAAATAAATAATTAATATATATTAAAAAATAAAAAGATATTTAAACTAACGAACAAATTATTTAATACAAAATAATTAAAATATAATGAATATATATAGTATTACAAAAATTTATTTGTTTAATTAATATATGTATTTTTTTTTTGTTCTTCACACATTTGACGTATACATAATATAATTATGATGAAGATGGACCTTTTTATTGGCAATTCATAGTATACTATTTTTGCTAATCATTGGACTTATCTCATCCATAAGATTATACAGTAGTCTCACTCCCTTAACATAGATTTTTTTCCCTCTCCCTTCTACACCTTAGCATCTACGACACCTACTCCCGCCCTACCACCAACTCCTCCTACTCCTCCTCAATCATTGAACATAAGATCCCTTTGGCTAGAAGACCAAGACTATATTGAATATTTAAGTGGAAAAGGAGGGATTTGAAGGGAAAGTGAGTGAAAAGTGAAGTTGTTTGGATTAAGGGAAAGTAAGTGGAAAGTGTAGAGAAAGTTTGTGAAAGTTTGTGAGTGAATTGATTGATGTGATAGATAAAAATGAATTTTTTAATTGATAATTATGTAAGATTACTATTTTTCCCTTAGGTTAAAATAAAGTTTATAATTATTATAATTAAAAGATAAATATATAAATTATAACTAAAAAAATAAATATAAAATATTAATTTAAAAATAATTTAATTTAAATATTTGCTTTAAATTTAATGATAGATAAAATTTAAAAATTTAATAGATGAATATAAATTTAACTTTTACTCTTGGATTAAAAATGAGTATAATATTATTTATTATAAATAATAATAATTACAATAAAATTATATTAATAGGTATAATTTATTAAAAAAGTAATAAATAATGATAAGAATAATAATAAATATTAGAAAAATAATAAGAATCATAATAAATAATAATGATACTAATTATAATAAATAATAATAATATTAATAATAATGAAAATAATAATAATTTTTATAATAATAAATAATAATAACAAAATATATTATTATAATTATATTTTCTAACATTATTTTACTAATGTTTATGAAAGTGTTATTATTTTAATTTTATAAACATATATTACTTTATTTTTTTTTTATATTTCTACTTTTTGATGTCAATATTTAAATAATAGAATTTTTTTAATATAAAAAATGTACAATAAAATTTTTAAAAGTTAATTAATAAATTAAAAAAATTGATAAATCATTGATATAAATTAGAATGAAATGAAGATATATTTATTAATTGTACAAATTAATTTTTACTAGTTAAAAAATTGAGAGATTTTTTGAATTACAAATTTGGGTTTTATGCCATTTTGGAACGGTCCGTTCTCAACTAGGAGTTTTAAGCCAATTTTCCAGTTTCGGAACGGCCCGTTCTAATTTCTGAACGGCCCGTTCTAGGATACTAAATTGCTCTTGTTTTGGTAATCTGGAACGGGCCGTTCCAATTTTGGAACGGCCCGTTCTGGGTTCGCCTGGAAGCGAAAATAGGCTACCATAATAGATTATGCAAGCCACATAATCGATTATTTGCATAATCGATTATGTACTCAACATAATCGATTATGTGGCATGCATAATCGATTATGCTTCAACATAATCGATTATGCTCCAACATAATCGATTATGTGGCGTGCATAATCGATTATGCTTCAACATAATCGATTATGTAGGTTGCATAATCGATTATGTTTGGTTCCTCTGCATGCATGGGACAGGGGCATTTCTGATTTTTCACAAATCCTACGTGTCTTTCATCTTTTTTCTTCGCTTTTGTGCGAGGACAGCAACAATGCTTCTCCCCCCTTTTCTTCGCCTTTCCTTCGTTGCAAATTACCGGAAACAAACACCTACTTTCTTTGCCTTTCATTGCTCGTAAACAGTACATCACCGGAAACAAACACTACGTAAATGTGAGGGCTAGTCCAAACATGAGGCCATTAAGACTCTTGGTTTGAGTCCCCTTGAAAAAAAAAATAATTAAGGTTCCATAATTTTTTTATGGTTTTTAATTTTATATTAATTTTTACTTAAAAATAATTATTTACTAATTTAAAATAAAGATATCTCCTAATTAAGGTTTCTCTTTTAAAAACATTGATTATCATTAAAAAATTTATTATCTACTTATATCAATATATTAATTATTTTTATAACCAGTCCAACAATCTTTTTCTAAATATTAATTTTCACTCAAAATTTGTTTAAACATTTTGTATTTACTAATTATTTTCTTTTATTCTTGAAAAGTTCTCATAATATTCACATTGAATCTCAATTCTCAAATCACTTATCAATCTCATCTCTTCTCTTTTATAATTCAATTATTTTGTTGTATGAATTTGTATTACTTCATCATTTTTCAAAAGGTAAAGATTATCCAACTCAAGGTTACCTATTTTTTTTTCCTTTTTTTTTTAATTGTTGAATGTTGTCTTTCACTCTTTCTTATTTATTTTGTGGTATTTAGTTGTTTGCTATACTCACTAAAATGAATTTTTTTTAATATTTCTTACTTTACAGTGTTCGAAACACTTAATTGTAATACTTATTTTAACACCTACTTAACTACTCGTGCAATTAAATTAAGTATTGTTTTATCAAATTTTTTCAACACTATATTTATACAATTTTTAATTGATTTTTCTTCTTCTTTTTAATTGTTCTTATTTCTACCCATTTTAATTACTCTTGCTTTCTCGATTATCCATACATAAATAGCAAAATTAGTAAGCAATTTTGCATCGCTAAAAACTAGAAAGATAAACTTTTAATAAAAACATTTATTTTAAGCCTAAAAATGGTCCTGTCTAATTTTTTTTTTATATTACCTTAAATAATTTTTACAATTTTCAAATCTGTTTTTTTTAACACGAGGTAAACATACTAGTATCGCAATAGTTTTTTCAAATCCTAAAATTGAGCGCGATGTAAACATATTAGTATCGCAATAGTTTTTCAAAACCTATTTTTGAGCGCCACTTCAATACATCAATGTCATTCATAATCACTTCATATCTAATACATGCTATAACAACATCAGTGTCATAGATACATCTTTTTTTACTCTAGCACTCTGTATCCATTAAATTCATATTTATTATGTAAAAATAAATATTAATGTAATTGTTACGCCTCTTTTATGCTAATTGTCTGTATCCATTAAATTTATATTTATTATGTACAAAAAATATCAGTGACATTAAAAGTCTATATCCATTAAAATCATATTTATTATATATTAAAATTAATATATGAATTAGTTATACCTTTAATTTAATTAACACATACCTACTGGTTTCTCTTATTCAAATATAAATTACTGTTTGATCCTTTTAATAAAAACCAATCATAAATATTTCTTGCATTAATTTTTTTTTACAAGAAATACCTTTAATTAAAATAATTTCTATTAATTCAATAAATGGTTACTGGAGTAATAATTTTATTAATGTTAATGTTTATTTTGAAAAAAAAAATATGTGTAAGACAAACTTAGTGTTAAATATTAGATTAAGCATGTGTTTGTATTGTAGCCAAGACGTGATTTTTCACATTTAATCGAAAGTAATAAATAGTAGCTTTCATATAAATTTACATTTGAACGTGTGGAGAGAGGAAAAAATTGCGTTAAAAAATAGAAATCAAACATGCACTAAGAATTCTCCAAAAACACTGTAGAACAAAAATACAAAAACAAAAAGAATGAATTCAACTTATTTATAGATTAAAATTAATTTATGCATAAATTAGTTTATACTTCAATATTAACTTCTTTAAAAATTTAATTTTAACTTACACATAAATTAATAGTTTATAAAAAATTATTTAACTTTTTCCTTTTAAATTTTTTTCTCAAATAAACTGTAATTAATTTTTTTAATAACTATGAATTAGGTAATTAAGTAAAAACAGGAAAATACTCAGTGCGTGTTTGGTTTCACGTTTGAAACGTGAAAAATCACGTTTAACATGAAGCTACAATGTGTAGCTTCATGTTAAACGTGATTTTTCACGTTTCAAACGTGAAACCAAACACAGGCTCAAATTCTCTCGTCTTAAAACAAAATTCAGTGGACAAAGGCAATTAATGTTCTACTTTTCAAGATCTAAATTGACGGTATTTTATTTATTTTAAATATCCCACTAAGTATATATAGTATACTAGTATATAATCTCTTATAATTTATAAAATATAAAAAGCAAAAGATAAATTCGTCCCAATTAGGTTTAGTCAGATTCTTAAGTCTCACCCCAACGGCCCAACCTCTTTAAAGAGCAAAAACCGTTGCCGACCATTTAAACTGAAGTTGAGTGGTGACAACTTACAAGATCATAGATTATTTAGTAAAATGATTATAATTTTGATGACTCATAGCTTTAATCACGTTTCCAATTGAAGCTAAGCATAATTTCTTAATTACTGGAAGAAAAAAAGCAAAAGAGATAACCAAGAAGAAAAGAGCAAAAAAAGGAAATCCTATAGAGATAAATTTCCCAATGGAGGCTACACACACAATATATTTGTTACCGGAAGAAAAGAGCAAAAAAAGATATGCAACAAAGTTGGTTGCGTAAATAACTACTAGGACTGCAATTCCATACCAATATCAAACACAAAAAGAGTGGATCATCTTCAAGATAAGTATAATACCTCCATCATAGCATTGCTTAAAAAAATTATTTAAAAATGTAAATAATGACTCTAGTATGACTACATGCAAAACTTATCGAGACATGGACATGTGTAAAATGTTGATTTTATGAATACTGATTTCTATTTAAAAACCCGATCTTTTAAAAGATATTAAATTGTATTCACTAAATTAAAAACATATATATATATATATATATATCCAAAGATTGGTATACATATGGTAGACAGAGGCAAAAACAAGAGGGTTTTTAATTTTTTATCTTGGCAATGAAATTATCTGGTATGAGGGGAATCTCTGCCACCAATGTGATTCATAAGCCAAACACCCCCTTATCCTTTCACACCCATTCTCAGTTTCTCATTTCCACAATTCCACTTACTTTAACTTCACCCATTGTCCCAACTCCCAACCACAAGTGGTTTGTTTAGTTGGTCACTTGCACATCACGATCAACCTCACCACTTATAAACCCAAAATCCCTCCAACAACTCAACACAACCAACCATTCCTATTTCATGGCTCTCATCACCTCCCAACCCAAAAACCTCATTCTCCACCGCCCAATTCCACGGTTGGCCACCACCGTTCTTGGCCTTGGGTCCTTCTCTCACAATGTCTTGCCCATTAAAAATTCAAACTTTGACCCAAAGACAAGCAAAATTTCCCTTAAAAACCACCCCTTTACCTATAATTTGGCAGTGATGGCCAAAGCCCAACCCAATGCTGCATTTGGAGAAGGCTTTGAGGCAGAAAAAGGGGAATCGAAACACAGAAAGATTTTGTTGTCTGAGGTTGAGGTGAAGAGAGAGAGGAGAGTTTTCTTTGGGAGGAAATGGAACACTTTGGGTGTTGTCACTGCTGGAATTGTATTAGCCATGCATGTTCTTTCTCTCTTTGCTCCATTTCATTTCAATTGGCCTGCTTTTTGTGTGGCTCTGGCTCTCTATGTTGTCACTGGCCTTTTTGGCATCACTCTTTCTTTCCATAGGAACCTTTCTCATAGGAGTTTCAAGCTTCCCAAATGGCTTGAATATTTATTTGCCTATTGTGGAGTTCTGGCTCTTCAGGTGGATTTTGTTTCTTCAAATTAAAAAACCTCTCTTTCTGTCTCTTTCTTCACGGTTGTGTTGTCTTTTGTGGTGATCTTGCAGGGGAACCCAATTGATTGGGTGAGCACACATAGGTACCATCACCAGTTTTGTGATTCTGAGAGAGACCCTCATAGCCCCACTGAAGGATTCTGGTTCAGCCATATGGGTTGGCTCTTTGATACCAATTCTGTCATAGAAAGGGTGTGTGTCATATGATATCAGTGCTCTCTATCTATGTCTCTTCTCAAGAAGCCAACAACCTTAATTATTGCAAATTTATCGTGGGATATGTTATGTATGTGCAGTGTGGAGAGCCAAATAATGTTGGTGATTTAGAGAAACAATCCTTCTATAGGTTTCTCAGAAGCACTTATATTGTCCACCCTTTTGCTTTGGGAGCCCTTCTATATGCCACAGGAGGATTTCCTTTTATTGTTTGGGGAATGGTATCTAATTTTTCTTTCATCTTACTTCCAATTTAAAAAGATGTTTGTTCTTTTGCTTAATTGATCATTGGTGTTCACATCAATTTTGGTTGGTGAGATGTAGATCACTGAAAAATCAATTTTGATGTGATTTATATCAAACATGCACTATAAGTAGAACTCATAACAGAACAGAGAAAATTGAAGTCCAATTTGGAAGGCTATTTCAATTTACACCTTTCTTTAACAAACGCAGGGAGTGAGGATTGTTTGGGTTTATCACATAACATGGTTTGTAAATTCAGCTTGCCATGTGTGGGGGAACCAGGCTTGGAACACCAAGGACTTGTCCAGAAATAATTGGTATGTTTTTTTTTTTTTTTACCTTAAACCTTTCATAGTTTAGTAATTGGTTTGTGTTCACAAGTTGTTATTTATATATGATGTAAAAATTCTTAGGTGGGTGGCGTTGCTTGCATTTGGTGAGGGTTGGCACAATAACCACCATGCTTTTGAGTTCTCAGCTAGACATGGACTAGAGTGGTGGCAACTAGACATGACTTGGTACGTTGTCAGATTTCTCCAAGCCATTGGGTTGGCCACTGATGTCAAGTTACCCACAGAAACTCAGAAGCAGAGAATGGCATTGAATAGTGACATAATAGCCACATGAAACAATTTTTTAATCATGGCCAAGGATAAAAAAATGTTAAAAATAGTAATAATAATAATAATAACAACAAAATGAAAGAAAGGGATTTGAGAGGTACTTGTTGTGGCACAAGGTTTTGGTAGGAAATTGTTCTTTTGGGTCTTGCTTTCAGCCATCATGGATCATGAATGCTGGATTTGACCATGTATATGCGACTATAACATTATAACTAATATTACTATTGATTAACACAGAAGAATATTTAATTATTATCCTTGCAAACTTCTTCCTCCTCCTTTATTATCTTATTATATTGTGATTTCTTATGCTTCCTTGTTCACACTAAGTTATGTGCTTTCTCCAATATCCAAAAGCGGCTTCATCTTTAGTTTATGATAACCCAAACTTGGTGGTTTTGAAGCCAAACTCATTAATCATGATTTCATTAGAGACTAAATGTGTGTTTCCTTTTTGTGTTAGCATGTAAACCGAAAAGCAATACTGTTTCTCAACGGATTTTCAAACACAATCGGAAAAGTTTCATCAGATTGACCCCACCACTATTGTGGACTGTGGCATTTGGAATATTTGCCAAACATTGAGCACTATAATCACATGTTACAATTCTTTGTAAAATAACGGTGAGTAGCATTTTCGCATTTGATGCATATCATATGTTGAAGTATGCTCAATGTTCACGGCATGGAAAATTTTCTCCTTTTAATTAATACATAAACATTGGTGTTCGGGTTTCATTAAAATTCGTAGGAGATTTATTAAAAGTGAGTTGTGAACTTATTGAAAACTTGTAGATTTCTTTGAAATTTTGTGCAAGGATATTTTACACCAATCATGTTTTGGGGTTTTTCTTTCAGCTTCACCGACCAGTTAAATATGGAGGATTCATTGTGTATTTTTAATGTGTTACATTACATAGCACACGAGCAACGTTTTCACGGTGGATCTAAAATAACAAACACGAGTCGTTAAGAATTAAGATTCTCTACGTGCAATAGTAAGAAGATAACAATACTACAGATACCTCCACTAGCAACTGTTCTTTTGTTTTTTTCTCCATATTATTGCTCTAAATTCTCTTGCGAAAAAAGTGCAATTAATAACATGTTTGACTCGAAAAGGGTGGATGTGATTTGTGAGTATGGGCATATATGGCTCCAAGTTATTGTGGTCGGATGTTCAACCTTGAGTGTTCCATAATATCGTAGTCGTCTTTAGAAAATTTGAGGTTTTAGAGAAATTTTATGAGTCAATCTTTATATTATTTCAGTATTATTTTATTATTTTATTTTTTTGAAAAGTAATTTTGTTAATTAAGATTTAACAAACAAAATAAAAGTTCAACATCTCATTTAATAGTAATTCATTCGATCGTTATCTTCTAATATAATTCATCTCAAATTGATTATAAAAAAAATTGAAAAAATTATTTTGAAAATGACAATAACTACAAATATTTTTAATACTATTATGCATGTAAAAATAATTGTCTTAACATTAATACTTCTAAGTTATAACAAGACATCAATATTTTTTTTAGTGTTTCTTTTAATATTTTCAATTCAAAAAAAAAAAATAGTCAAGACTACTAATATAAAATTAATGATCACTAAAATTTAAATTTATTTAAAATTTAATATAATATTATTATTTAATTTGTTCTCTTTTTAAATTCTCAACTATTTGGAATTGATATAAAAAGTTCCAAGTGATTTTATATTTTAAAATTTGTTCAAATAAGTCGGGAGTAGAAGAAAATAGATTGATTTAATATAATCATAAAATAATAATAAATAATAATTTTATAAGAACTAAAGAAATTAATCTTTAAATAAATGTGTGATTTTATTTATGTCACCTTCATCGAAATATTTTTATATATACTATTTATATGAAATTTAATTTCTATATTCATTTCAATATTTTGTAATTCAAAGAAAATTCAAACAATTTTTTCTATAATTTTTTAAGTGAATAATAAAATTTTCAATTAATATAAAATAATAACTATGTATATACATATTCTTAAACTATATAATCTTATTAACAAAACTAAATATAATAATATAACAAAATGTACTACCTAATAATTTAAATTAAAATCAATTTTAAAATTAAAATAAATGCTTGAAACTTGAAAGGGCCAAAGGAAGTGGCCTAGTTGACCTTCCCATAGCCATAGCCACACCCCAATAAAACACTTTTATATGTATAGAGAGGTATCATAATTTTTTTCTATTTAACAAAAATATCTTTTTACTCCTGTATTTTTTTTTTCTTTTTATCTAGAAAATTTTACGTTAATTATTGTATACTAGTTTATATTTCTAACTCTAGTTTTAGTTTTTTTTCTTCTTCTGAATACTCTAATTTTAGCTATGCTATACTTTCCATATCTCTGAAAACTATCAAAACTGACTGTGTTCAAACAGTGCATAATATGCTTCGTGTCAAAATAATTACAATAAAAAACAATAACTACACTATTTAATAGACCTTTAATGAGTTTATTTTCATTCCAATAGAATTTTCTATAAACAATAGTTTTGTAAAACAAAATAGAGCATAAAAGTTCAAAAACGCCCACCGTGGGGCTCGAACCCACGACCACAAGGTTAAGAGCCTTGCGCTCTACCAACTGAGCTAGACGGGCACTGAAATTATTTGACAATATTGACCTATATATTCTATATATTTTTTCTGGATTTTAATTTGAAAATGAGTTTCATACACTTAGTGAATAGTGGAAATTAAATAATAAAAAAAAAAATAAGTGTGTCAAAACAACCTGAGTTTTATGAAATTGATCTTACATGATCGTCAAAATTTAATCCAACTTCGATTTTACATTGCATTTCTTTTTTGTCCAAACTTAGTTGTGGTAAGACAAGATATTCCTATGGAGCCCAAGCCTTTTCGAAAACCAAGCCTCTCAATAAAATGAATACTATCTCCATAACTTTACATTTTGAGCATTATCTTTACAATATATTTTTTTTCAATCCTTCATGTTTACTTATTTAGGAATACTTGTAAAATCTGAATTTAGAAATATCTATGCAATACATGAAAAAATTTGTTTGTTTGTCCTTTATTTACCTTCAGCTCACTTTTGGGCTTAAAAAAGAAAAACTATTTGGACTAGTTCATGAGATCGGGCCTCTAGGGGAAGGATTAATTACCCACATTAGGTGGGGTATGTTAAGGACTTGGCAAGAAGCACTTTTACTACGGCCTAAAAGAAAGTCTTCATCTAATCTTTTTCTTTTTAACTAATATTTTAATATTTAATGTACAAGTTAAATATTTATTATATATAATTAAAATTTAAAATAAATTATATATAAATAAATATTATATTTAAATATATAAATTATATTATAAATATATCATAAATAATTTACATTGTAATACAAAATTATTTTTATTTATTGGTAGCTTATTTTAAAATATTAAAATTTAATTCATAAATAATTATAATAAATGAAAACCAAATTAGATATGATGTTAAAAGAATCCATAAAAACTCCTGAGTTGAATAAAATTAAAAACACATTCACATAAAAATATTGGTTCATGTTTTATATATAGAGTTTGATGATTTTGTTAACACTAATTATTAGAACTAATATTAAACTTATAATAGCATGGTTTTAAAAAAAGATATTCTGAGAAATACTTACTCCGTTTTATTGAAACTAAAATTTATGTAATTATAAAAATAAAATAATAAATAAAGAGATATTATTAAAAATATTCCACTCTCTTATCTTTTGTAATAAAATGTTAATTAAACTTTCCAATAATACTCTCTTTACAATTGGTTGGCAAATAAACAGATTTTAGTGAGTCTTATAATTAAATTTGTGATTTCAAATAAATTTTAGTTAGTAATTAACATGTGTCAAATAATAATAATAATAATAATAATAACAAATTTAAAATATTTTTAAAATTTTAGATGATAATTTTTTTTAAGAAAGAATAAAATTAAAATTCATTTATTTTATATTAAGCGTATATGCCAGTATTAGTTATTGTTTCTGGAATGTGGCCAATTCTCGAATTTGCCATATTGAAAAGTAAGAATAACAGTAAGAACCTCGAGCATTGAAGCCACCAATATTTCATCATTACCTTTAATTATAACATAATCACCATACCTTAATGAGCTCATAGTTGTGTCAATTATATGAAAATGAAGAGAATAAAAGAACAGCATGATTTAAAACTTTTGGCTTGTATGGAACAAGAACAGGAGAACACAGCCATTCATGTGATTTGGGATATCGAAGCCATAAAGGGAATGAAATAGTAATAATCTGTTTGCAGTAATTGAATAATAGCACGGGAGAGCAAAATGCACGATTATGAAGTCTATGGACTATGCTTAACTAGTTTAATATAATTGCATTCAGAAGTATTTATTTATTTACTGCAAACTAATTTAAGCTTGTTTAACCTGCATCTATGGTTACGTCAACACAAAGCATGCTTCCATTTAGACATTCCCACATATCCATAGTACAACGTAGTAATATTTTATTAGAGAAGGCACCTTTTAACTTGGTATTCAAAAGCTACAGTGGCCAAGGGTAGAGAAATTATTTTATAGTATTAACCAATGATTCTTAAATAGGTAAATTATCTCTTGTTAATTAATCAAAGTGCTTACGTCAGTTCAAAGCATGCCTTGCCTTGAGCAAACTGTAACACTTTCGAGGTTATTATAAAAAAATGAACACGCGCTCACTTTGATTCATAAAACTAATTTAAGACAACGTATGCGTAAACCCATAACCTAGATTCGGCTGCCTTGCCAGTTTTAAACTTCGGTAAGTTTAAAGTGCATATTTAACGGTTGCATGTGTAAGTGCAGGTAGACATATATAAAATGATATTTAAAGAAAGATAAATATTTGATACTGCAAAATTTGTTTCTCTATATAGTATATACCTTTGATTTAAGGACTATCTTTCACTTCACCAAAAGTTACTGTTAATAATAATATTAAATATAGTTTGTTGTAGTGTTTATTTTTATAATAATCAAAATTAGAGAAATTATATTCACATAAAAAGTATATATACAAATAAGATAAAAATATTAAAAAAAATGGGGAGAGATAAAGAAAAAAGAATATTGTATAATTTTCTTATGTAAATTAAATATGATATTCATGGAATTATACGATATACTTATTATCTACTCTATATTATTTGCGGTTATATATGATTTAGGGTTTAGGGTTTAGGGTTTAGAGTTTATGTTGGAAGGAAATATCAGTATTATTAACTAAAAAGAAAGGCAAGTTTTCTCATTTCTATGATTTCTTAAAAATTAAAAAAAAACATATAAATAAATATCAAATTACTTCTTTATTGTTATTTTAATCAAAATGTTGCATTTGAAAATTTTATGCAATGAATAAAGGGAGGGGGAAAATGTGAAATCAACACGAACCCTTTCATTTAAATCCCAATAAAAATGAAACAAAAAATATAAACCCGCAAAAAATACATCTATTTAGTTATAGTCTCCTAAAATAGTATACCGATTTGCTCAAAACTTGAACAAAGGGACCAAAAAAACTGTAAGAAATTAACGTGCCATTATAACTTTTCTTGTTAATATATGCGATTCGGATTTTGATTTGTAACTAAGATCATTATATGTAATGGCATAATTTACTTATCGATATATTCAAACTCTCATTTGAAAAGGAAAATCCATATATATATATATATATATATATATATGGGTTATAATTACACCGGTGTAACTTTTACTAAGTATTACACCGCTCAATAACTTTATATTAATTGTGAATTTTGTATATCTAACTGTTAGATTGAAAGTACATATCTCTTAGATCATATATACAAAATTTTATATTAATTCAAGATGATTTGATATTTCATTTTTATAAAACAAAATTGACGTAATATATTCATTTCAAAATACACTAAAATATGAACACTTTGATTACCTTCAATTTGTTGTTTAATTTTAACAAAATTTGATATACACGTATAACCCCCCTATATATATATATATAATATGTTGGGACAATTGAGAAAAATCCTTAAATAAATTGAAGTATCTTCAATTTATTTTTCGATAAGTTGAAAGGTGGACAGTTATGAGTAGTTCAAGGAGATTACTCACAAATGCGCGAACATTAGGACAGTTATATATCATAAGGAGTTGATGTATATTAACTGTTTCTCAAAAATAAAAGTGAAAACCTTGAAAGGATTATTCGAGGATCAAAAAGTGTAGTAGATAGTTGTCAGAAGTTAAGAACGATTAAGAGAGATTACTCATGTCGTATAATGAGGAGCGGTTACACATACCACGTCAAAATCATACAAAATTAACCACTCCTACTCATCCTCTATAAATAAGCGAGGCAGTCTCATTTCAGGGGGTTGAAAACTTCATACTTTTGAAATCTCACAACACTCACCGTCCGTGCATATGGCTCCCGTGTACGAGACTGTATGATTTCTTGACCACCTCTTTTTTTTTCTTTTTTTTTTTCTCTTTTTTTTTCTTTTCTTAGAGTAGTTCTAGCCTAGTTAATATAGTGTAGTAGTGTAGTCTTGTCGCTTCTCATAATTCTTAAGTATTGTAATTTCAACAATTATTGAAAGCAAATAAATTATGATTTCTGTCATCAATATATATGTTGTTCATTCGATTCATTTAAATGTCTATCTGCATGAATCTCGTTTCATGATAATCATCGAAGAACGTCTAGAGATCTTTACATGCTAAATCACATAAAATTAGAACTTAACTAGTCTAACTTTGCTTAATTATTCATAGTTGATATGTAGAAGGTTCATTCTGGAAAATTTGTTATACGTGAATAACGAACAGAAGAGATGTAGAAAAAAAATTGCATGATATACATACCTAAATTGAAATACTGTACTAGTTCGGATAAAAAGAATTCATAGACGAATTTCACTGTAAACAATATATAAAGTGTTTTTATAGTATTTTTTTCCAGACTAAATTATTCAATGAATAATAAGGAAAATTTGATTTTAAATCACTCGTACATATGGCCTGGAAAATGCAATCAGACTCGTTCAGTCAATCAGACTCTTTCATCAAATATGTTAGAAACCTCTTTTGGTCCTTGATAATATTTTTTTTGTTTCAATTTAGTCCCACTTTAATTTTAGGTCTCAATTTGGTTCTCAATAATTTAAATCATTGCAATTTGGGACTTCCGTCCAAATGATTTAAATGGGGTTAACTCCTGCTGATGTGGATGTCAGGTAGATCCCAAGTAGATGCATAGGTGGATGCTAAATGGCAGGAATACACATGGAACCAGAACGGCCCGTTCTAAAACCAGAACGGCCCGTTCTGCATGCACATGTTATGTGTTAATTTTGCAACTAGAACGGGCCGTTCCGAATGCAAATTTAACACAACATGAGTGAAGCAGAACGGGCTGTTCTGAAACCAGAACGGGCTGTTTTGGCCCGTTCCAGAACGCCAACTTTATGCTTTTCATTGTATTTTTTTAAAATTATATCTATATTAATAAAAATATAATAAATAAAAAATATAATAAAGTAATATTTATTTATGAATAAAACTAAAAAAAAGAATCAAATAAAATAAGACCTTCCAAAATCCTTCTTTGATTTAAACTTATCCAGTTCAAAATCTTGACTAAAATGCCGCAATGTGATTCAAATTGAAAATAAAAATTCATAATATATCATAAATTCAAAGACAGAAACATGGTTCCGAAACTGAAAACAAAAATTTAGAACATAACATATACTAAAAAAGTTCAAAGAAATTATTGAGAAAGGAAATCATCTGAGTAACGCTGAAGGGAAACCCTAAATCACAAAAATTCAGGTTGTACCTCCTCAAGAACAGGTTGTTATTATTGGGGTACATCGTCAATGACTTCAAGAGGAAACATCGTTTCATTTCATCCTTGACTGTATAGTGTCAATTTGGTAGTAAGTGGTTCACTCCAGTTTGACTAACAATAAAATAAAACTTGTTACCATTGTTCTTAGTGATACACTGCATCGTCCTTAATGGTACACTGTATAGCCCAAATATTTAGCAATTGAAGTTATCAATCCCCATTAACAATATTACCAAATCTAATGTTTGAAATGCTTTGTACTTTGATTTTTTTCACGAAATTCTGGAACTAGAACGACCCGTTCTGAAACTAGAACGGCCCGTTCTGGTTACACTGTTGGTGTGTTAATTTTGCATCTAGAACGGTCCGTTCCAGGTACAAAATTTACACACCAATAGTGTAACCAGAATGGGCCATTCTGGTTTCAGAACGAGCCGTTCTGGTTCCAGGTGTATTCAAGTATTTTGGGATCCACTTACGTGGCATCTACGTGGCATCCACCTGACATCCACGTGGCCACCAGTTAACTCCGTTTAAATCATTTAGACGGAAGTCCCAAATTGCAATGATTTAATATATTGAGGACCAAATTGAGACCTAAAATTAAAGTGAGACTAAATTGAAACAAAAAAAATATTATAAGGGACCAAAAGAGGTTTTTAACCCATCAAATATGCATTTTCATTTTCACGAACTTAATAATCGAACAGTAAATTACATACTTAAAAAATAATCATCTGTTAATCATATTTAGCTAGAGTGATTAAACAGACCAATTCAATAAATCGAATTTCACAAAATAACCTAATTAAAAAGTTGGATTCATTTGACTTTGACCAGTGAATTAATAGTTTTCAATCCCGGAACTAATTTTGAAACATATTTGATTTTGGTTTTTTTAAAATTTAAATAAAAAATAAAATAAAATAAGTTAATTTGATCTAACTAGATGTAGTTAGAAAATAAACTCTCCATAGATCATTAAAGACGGGCTATATGAGAATGAGAGGAAGCCACTTACAAGTTACAAGTATTGGTATGGTAGTAACATGATAGATGCTAGTTATTAAAAGAAAAAATGTTTAATGTAGGTATAATCAGAAAATAATAACTCGTGAATCCAAATTAATTTAATAAATTTAGATCAATTTTTTTAGTGTTTGAATCAAACTCAACACAACTCAATCAAAATCTAATAATATATGGATTGGGTACGAATTTTGTATTTTCAACCTGTTATTAACCTGACCCAATCCAAAAATAATAATAATAGTGTTTAAATAATCATTTGTTCAGAATAATACTCACTGTCACCCTTACTAAATAACAAATTTTATGTTTTAAATTAATAACATTGTAATAATATAATATATTTATTTAAAATTATATTTTATATTAATTAATATTAATTTTTTGAATTAATAATAATATAACATATTAATTAATTTATTTTAGAATTTAATTTGTATCATTGAATTTGTAGAAATATATCAAATGATTTACATATATTTTAAAATATTTAAAATTTAAAAATATATAATTATATTAATTCAATTAATCCAATTCATAATTGAGTCAGATTAGATTGAATTAATTATTTTTTTTAATTATATAAATTTAACTTAATTTAATCTATTAAATTTTAATTGAATCCGATAAAGAAGTGCAATCCCATCCACTTTAACCCATAGATTAAAGTTTGTGAGAGAGACATAGATAAAAAAAAAACCCAAGTTAGGCATAATGTGTCACGTGTGTGGCATGGTCTAAAGTTTTCCAAGCAGTAGACGTATGTGAGTTGTGAGGCAGCCTTGTTGAACGGGCGTTACTTCTAAGCCCTGATTTCGATGCACCATCACTCACCCAACCACCAACCATTTTCATTTTCTTTTCCTCGGGAATGTGGAATCAAGCTTACAAAATTAAGAGCACATTTGATATTTGATTTGCTACTTGGATGATGTCTATGTTTCAAACAAAAGAAAATACATATTATAAAGCCATGGCTAGCTTGAGGTGACTGACAGGTTACCGGCTTCAGGTGGAAGTGTGGCTGCAACGGCAGAGGACAGGCGCGTGCCAAGTGACCGGGGACGGGGACACCCGGTTGGTGCCACTTCCTCTGCTCTGCGGCTGTGTGGGATGGTCCGGCAGATAACACACATTCACCTCGATAACCCAAAAACCCTGCACGCCCTCGCTTTTGCACCTTCCCTTGTTCCACATTTTTTTTTTTATTTTTTTATATTCAATTTACTATTTTTATTTATTTACACATTTATTTTATTGTGTTGAAATAGAATATTAAGTGACATTAAAAATAATAGCGCTGTAATTAAGAGGAATAAAGAATTGAAGAGTAATTAACGTGGTCCAAGTGTCCAAGGGGCTAGCTTTAAATACAAGAATACAAGGTTGAAGACGAAGACAGAAGAAAAGCGAAGAAAGAAAGTTTGCATCCACATCTCTTAAAGTTTGATAAATTAAAGACAGCTAAAACGGGTCTCCCTCTGTGGATGCTTGGTTTAGGTGCGGACCTCTTGTGGGCCGACATGAACCGTCTCCTTGCCTTTCTCTTCCACCAGGTATATATATATAGTACTATATATTATAGCTTTAATTAACTCCACATCTATATATATGTACATATTAATTAATTAATGCATTGCAGGGAGTGTTGGATGAACAATTCTTGCAGCTTCAGCAGCTGCAAGATGAGACATCCCCTAACTTCGTCTCCGAGGTTGTCAACATTTATTTCCACGAATCCGAAAAGCTTCTCACCAATCTCAGAGCTTTGCTGTAAGTCTTCTTCATCACCATATTTATTATTTTAGGTATATATATAGTGTTACGTTACTAGCAGCTACTAGTACTACTAAACTAATAAATATGAATGGGAATGGGAATGCAGGATGGAGAGAGAGTTCTCGGACTATAAGAAAATGGGGATCCATTTGAATCAGTTCATGGGTAGCAGCTCAAGTATTGGAGCCAAGAGAGTCAGAAACGTTTGCGTTGCCTTTCGTGCTGCTACTCAACAGAATAACCGTGCTGGGTCTGCCTAGCTCCCTGCAAATTCCCTTCTTTTTCTCATTTTCTTTTTACTAATCTTAATATTAATTCTGTTACACCATTGCAGATGCTTGCGCGCCTTGGAGATGTTGGAGCATGAATATTGCTATCTCAAGAACAAGTTGCATGAATTATTCCAAGTCTGCCAAATTACACTACTTTTATTAAATTCATTCTCCTAACAATTAACATAAACCTAATCAATATCAAATTATTAGACCCTTCCCTTCCTTATTATCTTTATTATTTGGTAATGAGCAGATTGAGCAGCAACGGGCTTTGGCAGCAGGAGTTAGGTACCCGGCGCAGAATTAAAAGAAAGCAAATGAAATGATGTGCCAAATATTTTTGGTGTTTCTGGTTTCATAAGGCCAAGGGCACGTCTTTCCGGTTTTAGACAGACCAAGCTTTTGTACTTGCTTCTGTAGGGAATGCAAAAAAGGGATCACCGTCTCTGCCGTTTTGGATTCTCTAGTGTACGTAGTGCCATCATGCTATGCTTTGCTTCGCTGTTCACTTTTTCAACTAAAGTGGACCAAATCTATTCAAACTTCCTGCTGTTACCCTATTACTATTCATATATATATACAATTTGTGTCGTCCTCTTTGTATTAGCTACACACAGATGGAAGGAAATGGATACAACATAACATGTGAACCTCAACAACATTTTACTGCTCTATTTAAATTAAATTCTGTTGGATTATACGAAACTAATTATACCAAAAACAAAGAAAAATCTGATGCAATCAGATTTATTCGAAGAATAACTCATCATTTATTTAACTTAATTGGTGTAAGACAAATCTATGATTTCGACCAAACTAATTACACATATTGGAATAAGAACTATTTAAATGCATTACTTTTCGATGCATGTATGTAACTTTTGTAAAGTAAAAGTAATTTACGTCCTTTTTACCATTTTCGTGAGGAAAATAAGGAAAAGGCGAAAGAATCATAACTTTTCCTTGTTCAATATCATCAAATAAAAAAGGAAAAGGTGTTTCCCTTCTTTTAAGTTTAAATTTTATAAAAATACACGATGAGTGGAAGGGAAAAGGCAACAAGAAACGAATTGAACTAATTCATGCAGCAATGACATACGAAATAAAGGGTATATATAGTTTGAGTCGTAAGTAACTAAGTTTGTAAAACTTAACGAATACACATTCAAATTCGAAAGGGTGGGGCAGAAATAAAAGGCGAATGGTACCTACCGCGGGAAGCTATGTTGGACTTTATTTGTATATAGCTGAAATATTTTCTCTCTCTAGAGTCTAGCCATAGCTCGTATTCGTAATAGGTTAAAGTAGCAAACAAGACAAGTGCTGCATTGAAATATTGGCATGACGCTACCCAAAGCGCCTTTCCTTTCCTTTCTACCAAACCATTCGACAATGTCACTCTGCAAGAGAATCTAACCTATCTATGCAGAATGGATCGGTCAAAAGTTGAAAGCCACTGTGTGCATGTTTGTACATATATATAAATATATTAAAAATTTACAACATATCCTAGCTAAGCTATCTACATATATTGTGACGTTACGTATGTATTGTATATGATATGACTCCTTGTGATTCATAATTCATTGTCTCCACAGTCCACAGCCAGGTAGGGATGAGATAAAAAAGATGGGTCTCTATCTTAATATTGTTTTCAGTACATGAAATATTTGAATAGTCAGTAGTACCTTTGAATTTGATGGATGTTGTTGGTCAAATTGTTGACCCAGCTATCTAGGCAGAGATTATTTGCAGAGGATCAGGAGAGAACAACAGTGGATTTGCAATTGCATGCAGAGGCAATCAGGCAAATATATATAATATAATGCAGCCAATAAAATATAATATATGATGGTATATATGTAATATAAGGCAGCAAACAAAATATAATATTTGCAATTGCATACAACAGTGGATTTGCAATTGTCTAGTCTTGTTCATGCATACAACAGTGGATTTGCAATTGTCTAGTCTTGTTCATGTACAGTTAACATTCCGTAGCAGCACAACCCATCTGGTTACCAGTTTAATCACTACAAGAAAATTATGATACAGTGACACACATCCTATAATGATATTATATATATTATTAAAAATTATTTTTACTTACACAAAAATTATAATATTGTTGAGTGTCTTTTATGCATGATTTGCACTCAACTTTTGGTACTCTTTTTGGTAATTGTAAATATTATATATGTTATTTTACTCCCCTTTATTTAAAGAATCAAGTTATACTAAAAGAGTAGAGGAGTAGTAGCAAAATCTTAAGGAATTTCCTCATTTTTTGCAGGTTTTTTAGGAAGGCAGAGATCCACAGCCATAGCTGTGGATCTGGAGCTCGAGCTGTGAAAATCTAGGGAGAAATTGTGAAGGTCAGAAACTTGCAGCTATAGTTGTGGTTCTGCAGCTATAGCTGTGGAAATCTGGAATGCTCATTTTTTGGTTCCAGAGACTTGAAGCTATAGCTGTGGATCTGGAGCTCGAGCTGTGGAAATCTGAAATACAATTTGAAGCTCCAGAGAGTTGAAGCTAAAGCTGTGAACTCAAAGCTAAAGCCATGGAGCACCCAGGACCTAGCAAAAACTCCAGAGATCCACAGCCATAGTTGTGGCTTCACAGTTGCAGCGCTGGAGGTTCCTTAAGCTTGAAGGAGTTGCCACAGCTATAGCTGTGAAACCACAGTTGCAGCTTTGGAGGTTTCTTCACCCTGAAGGACTCTCTACAGCCATAGCCGTGGATCTACAGCTGCAGCCGTGGGAGGAAAAATCACTCTTTGCCCCTGTTTTAAAGCTCATATAAAAGGGGGAAAGTGAAGTAAATCCTGAGAAAGTCGTAGCTCTCCGGGCGAATGATTGCATGGTCGGTTGAGTTGACCGAGTTCAGCATCCAGTACGAAAGTTGTGGCGCCCTAAAAGCTCAATGTCTAGCCGACTTCGTAACTGAGCTCACGCCTACCATTGCCGAGGAACCCCAGGTATGGACTTTACACATTGACGGGTCCTCCAACTCTAAGGGTGGTGGTGTAGGTATCATATTGGAAGGGCCAAACCAGGTCACTTTGGAACAATCCCTCAAGTTCAGCTTCAAGGTGACCAACAACTAGGCGGAGTATGAGGCACTTCTCGTAGGACTGAGGCTAGCTCGCAACCTCGGAGCCCAAAATGTGAGTTGCAACAGCGACTCGAAGCTCATGGTGGAGCAGCTCAGTGGGACGTACTAGGCAAAGGATACTCTTCTACAATGGTACTTCCACATCGCATCCCACCAGATCTCGTCCTTCGACGAGTTCACCATACAACACGTGCCGCGAGAACAAAATGCCTGAGCCGACCTCCTGTCAAAGCTCGCCAGCACCAAAAGGCTTGGACAGCACCAGACTACCATTCAGGAGACTTTGCACTCACCCAGCCTGGACGACAAAGTCGTCAACGCTAGTGACAGCGAAGACCAGAGGTGGATGACAAGCATCTGGAGGTACTTGAAAGAAGGAACCTTGCCCGAGGATAAGGACGAAGCTCGGAAGGTGAGGATGAGATCGGCCAAATTCGTAATTATCGGGGATGAGCTATTCAAGCGAGGCATTTCCACCCCACTGCTCAAGTGCTTGACCGCACCTCAGGCAGCCTATGTCATCGAGGAAATCCACCGGGGCATATATGGCATGCATTCCGGAGCACGCTCAATGGCGACCAGAGTACTCTGAGCAGGGTACTACTGGCCCACTCTGAAATCGGATTACCAGGACTACGTACAAAAATGCAGAGAATGTCAGCAGTTCGGCAACACACACCGGCAACCGCCCGAAGCTCTCCACCATATGATGTCGGCATGGCCTTTCTCACAGTGGGGAATGGACATCCTCGGGCCATTCTCCCTTGCGAAAGGTCAGCTTAAGTTCCTCCTAGTGGCGATCGACTACTTCACCAAGTGGATCGAGGCATGCCCACTCGCCAAAATCACCACCGAAAATGTGCAAAGGTTCACCTAGAGGAGTATTGTTTGCAGATTCAGAATCTCTCACACCCTCGTTACTGACAACGGCCGGCAATTCATAGCACAGGGATTCGAGGACTTCCTCCGCGAGCTCGGTATCAAACATCTCCTAACCTCGGTGGAACACCCCCAAACCAATGGCCAAGTTGAAGCAGCCAACAAGGTCATCCTTCGGGAACTTAAGAAGCGGATGGGAAACGCCAAAGGACAATGGGCCGACGAGCTTCCCAACATCCTCTGGGCGTATCATTGCACCCCCCAATCAACCACGCAAGAGACACCTTATAGCCTGACCTATGGAACTGACACAATGATCCTAGTGGAAGTCGGAGAAACATCCCACCGGCGCCAAGTTTTCAACAGCGAGCAAAACGCTCAAGAGATAGCAGCCGACCTCGACTTGATTGACGAGCTTAGAGACGAAGCTCAAATCTACGAAGAAGCCTGCAAACTCCGAGCTTCCCGAAGATACAACACCTGGGTGCGACCTCGCTCTTTTGTGAGTTGCAACAGCGACTCGAAGCTCATGGTGGAGCAGCTCAGTGGGACGTACTAGGCAAAGGATACTCTTCTACAATGGTACTTCCACATCGCATCCCACCAGATCTCGTCCTTCGACGAGTTCACCATACAACACGTGCCGCGAGAACAAAATGCCTGAGCCGACCTCCTGTCAAAGCTCGCCAGCACCAAAGAGAAACAACAACAACCAAGGATATGGATGGAGGAATGAAGTTGGATCATCCAATAGGCCACCACAACAATCACAGCAACAACAACCTGTGTATCCCTCTATGCATGAAAGAACTAGTAAATTGGAGGAGACTCTGAACCAGCTCATGCAGGTATCTATGAACAACCAGAAGAACACAGAGGCATCCATCAAGAATTTGGAGGTGCAGGTGGGTCAGCTAGCTAAACAATTAGCTGACATGTCTAGAGGCCCATTCTCAGTCAATACCAAGACCAACCCCAAGGAGCATTGCAAAGCCATAACTACAAGAAGTGGGAAGGTAGTTGGTGAAGATGTTGGAGTGAGTGAGAACAATGAGGGTGCTGATAATAAGGAAGAAAATAGTGAATTGAAGGAAGTTGAGGAAGAGAGTGAGAAGAATGAGGGAGAGAACAATAAGAGTGAAAGTGTAGATAGTGAGAAAATAAAATAGAGGAATGGAGTTGAGAAGGAGAAAAAGAAAAAGAAGGGCAAGGAAGTCATTTCCACTATTCCTGTAAGAAACTTACCTTACCCTCATGCTCCTTCTAAGAAAGAAAAAGAAAGACAGTTCTTGAGATTTCTGGATATCATAAAGAAGCTCTAGATTAATATTCCCTTCACTGAAGCCATGGAACAAATGCCCACTTATGCTCGGTTCATGAAGGAATTGTTTACTAAGAAGAGAAGAATTCTTGAAGAAGAGACTGTGGAGCTTGAGGCAGGATGCAGTGCTATTATACAGAAGTCTTTACCTCGGAAGTCCAGAGATCCAGGCAGTTTCACTCTCCTTGTATCAATTGGAAATCTATCAGTGGGTAAGGCACTCTTAGACCTTGGAGCTAGTATTAACTTGATGCCTTTATCTATGCTGAAGAAGATAGGAGAAGTGGAAGTAAGACCTACAAGAATGACCTTACAGTTGGCAGACAGATCCATTAAGCTTCCATATGGCATAGTGGAAGATATGATAGTGACGGTTGACAAGTTCATGTTCCCAGTTGATTTTGTAGTAATGGACATGGAAGAAGATGTGGAGGTTCCATTGATTCTGGGCAGACCCTTCATGAAGACAACTAGAGTTATCATAGACATGGATGATGGAAAGTTGAAGGTGAGAGTTCAAGATGAAGAGGTGAATTTCAATGTTTTTGAAGCAATGAAGTTTCCAAAAGGCAACAAAGATTGCTTTAGAATTGATGTATTAGATGATGTGTACTTGGAAACTCAAAATGATTTCAAGAGCTCATCGCCACTGGAGAAGGCTTTGCTTCTTTCTAATGAAGAATTGGATAAGGTCATAGATGAAGAGGATCAAGATGTTATTGATGCACTAAATAAAAGAGAAAACTCTTCTGCCAATGTTCATTCAAAGAAGAATTGAAGAAAGAGGAAAAAGAGCAAGTAGTGAAGCTGGAATTGGATGACAATGTAGTTGGAAAACACAGGAAGTTACAGCTTCTTGAACTTGAAGAAATGAGATTTAATGCTTATGAGTCTTATAAGCATGAGTCTTCTAAGCACTGCAAGCAGAGAATCAAAGCATATCATGATAAGAAGATTTTAAAAAGGAGCTTCAAACCCGGCCAATCAGTGTTACTATTCAACTCTAGATTGAAGTTATTTCCGGGCAAACTCAAAACTAAGTGGTCAGGCCCATTTGTAATTAAATCTGTCAAATCACATGGAGACATTGAGCTGAAAGATCCTGCCTCTGGAAGGACTTGGTTAGTCAATGGTCAAAGGCTCAAGCATTATCTGGGTGGTGAAGTTGAAAGACTCACTACCATCACTCATTGGAAGGAGCCATGATCAAACAGGGATTGTCAAGCTAAAGACATTAAATTAGCATGTTCTTGTTTAATTCCTAGTTTAAATTCTGAATTTTGTGTTGAATATTGTTTCGTTAATGTTTTTTGCTCATAGCTATGTTTAGTTTCATAATGCATGTTGTTTTGTGTTTTGAATGATATATAATGTGTTAAAACTACCACTCATGTTGACAGCTTGTTTTATGTTTTGTTGGTTGGGATATATGAAGTTAATTTGATGATTTAGAGTGGTTGTGTAGCATTTTGTTCCTTATTTGGCTGTTATTTTGTTGTTTTATAGTGGTGTTGCATTGTTTTGGGTGTTGGGTCTGTGAGTAGTTTGATGATTTGGATTGTGGAGAAAACTATTTTTGTTTATAGGGAGGTTTGATTCCCTGCTGTGTGTGAGAGGCAGGTTGTGCAATAGCTGATTGTGGTTGTTTCATGGTTGACCTGTTGCTGCAGAGCATAAAATCATGTTGTTAATATATTTGAGTTGTGTGCAATTTTAGTAGTGTGAGATAATCGAAAGGGTTAGAGTTTCAAGTTTTTGGTGCAAGTAGGTGTTTTGGGTCATATGGTTATAAACTTGTTTTGATGTGTTTTAATGGTTAGAAATTTTGCAAAATTTTGAGTTTTATGGTTATGTTGGCTGCATACTTTGTTCGTAAAGTATTAGTCTGTGAGGTGCCATTTTTGGATGATTTAGAGTTGCTTGGGTAGCTTTGAGTGTTGTGTGGTCATAAGAATTTGATCATTGGTTGGGTTTCCAAGTTCGTGTAATGTGAAATGGTTTAGAATGTTAAAATTCAAACTCTCACCGCTGAAGCGCTGGACTCACGGCCTTAGCGCCAACTTGCTGCCAAGGGCTCTCATGTGGAAAAAATTCGATAGCTCAAGCGTTAATCCCATGGCCATAGCGCCAAGTCCCTGGGGCTCTCACTCTCTTAAGTTTAAAAACTCCACAGCTATAGCGCCAAGTCTCAAGCTAAGGCGTTGACTCTCTGCCCATTTATTTAAGAGCTTTAAACTCTCACCTCCACAGCGCTGGATTCATGGCCATGGCGCCAACTCACTGTGATGCAAGAAACTTTCATAGCTCAGGCGCTAGCTTCCATAGCCTTAGCGCCAAGTTTCTGCCCTCCAACATAAATCCCAGCGCTCAAGCGCTACATTCACGGCCATAGCGCCACTTTTCTGGCGCCAAATTATGAGACCGTGGGACTCAAAACATATTGAACTAAATGATAAGTTGGAGCATTTTGGGTCAGTTTTAAAAACTGAACCCTTCTCTTTACCTTTTCATTTCTCTCTTCTTCCCCTCACGGAACCCATTAATCCCCCCACATTTCATCTCCTATCTTCATAATCTACATAAAACCATCATTTTGCATCATCCATTACGCACACAAACACAAAACACTCCATTTTTATTGGCATTGCAAGGTAAAGTCTTCACTTTTCTCTTCTATTTTCTTCGTTGCATGGAAGTGGTTGTAAGTGCTTCATTTCTTTAAACCTTTCTCATAATCTTTCATCATTTCTGAACTTTTTGATTGATTTGGAAGTACACCAATGTGTAAAAGCATGATTTTGGGTGTTTGAGTTCTCAACGTGAACATGCATAAGCATTCACATTTTTTGCCTGTTTTGTGTTCGAAGAAATGCCTGAATGAGAAAAGTTTTTGATTTGAACACAATCAATGCCTTGAAAAAGGTGGTCACTGAAATGTTCCATTTTGTGAAGAATTTTGAACCTTGCATGACAAGAATTCACATGCATTTGGCTTTTCTTTCTCATGTCCACCACGTGTTTGGTTAAATGCTTGAGTGAATACGTGTTCTTATGTAAAGTGTAAAATCATTGTGCTTGGTTGATCATTGGAGCTAAAAAAAAAATATTTGCTTGTTCATTGGTGGCTTTGAAATAACTTTAGTGCTTCACATGTTAGAATGTTTATTGATCATTCCTTGTGCCACATGAAGAATTGTGTTTTGTTTGTATGATCAATATGTGGATTAACTTGGTTGCAAGAATTGGTTGTCAAATTTTCAGATAGTTCGTTCAAGAGGTGGCGGTTCAGGCAGAGGCTCTGAAGCCACTCATAAAATCTCAGATGCACCAACCCCACCACCACCATTTGAAGTGGCATGGGGACAGTCCTATATTTTTTGGAGGGGGTGGAGATCAAGGAGATCAAGGCGAACAACTTCATGGTGGGGAGCAGGAGCATGAGCAGGCAATGATGAAAAGGAGAGGATGGAGGGTTGTTGTCACCCTCGTTCTGAGAAAGAGGAGTTCCACTTTAAATTTATGCAATTTCAAATTCCAGTCATTTTAAATTCCAGTTGTTTTAGTTTCTATTTTGTTAATTGTTTGGACTATTTGGTGGTTTATATACTTTTTGTGAATTAACAATCATAAAAAAAAGGGGAAAATTGAAAATCATTTTTGAAAGGTAGTAAATGAGATGGCTTTTAGATCAACAAAAAGTGAAAACACATCTTTTGATTCACCTTAAAATGGTTTGTTTTGAGACTTGCTTTGAGGTTGTACTCATCCAATTTGCTTGATCATGAAGTTGTGAGTTATTTGATTAGCATGGGATGAAAAATCAGTAGTTGAACATTTAGCCAAGCTGGTGAGTGAGAGAGACTAAACAGTGCATCTATCATATACACTTATACTTTGAGAGCCATCATCATAGCATATGTGTTTGCATTGGTTGAGTCTTGAATGATTGCTCTTGTGAGAAAGTTTTGGACAGGATCAAGGCATTCCATTGTAAATAACTGAAATCTTTTTAAGCCTAAAGCCAAACAGCCACCATAATTGAATCCATCCTTTAAAACCTGTTTGAGCCTTAACCTTCAAATAACCTTAAACCTTTCCCAAATACCAACTCATCACCCTGACCAAACTCTTGAGAGTAAATGAAAATGAATTGGAGATTAAGTTGGGGTAGTTGGTAAAAAATTGTCAAGTTGAGAGGAAGTGGTGAAATTAAACTAATGCACAGTTGAAGGGAAGAGTCACCCCTCCATCGAATTTCAATAGGTTTGTACTTTTATCTTAATTTTTTATTTTTTTTAATATTTTATATTTTTTCTCTTTCACTTCAAGTTGTAAAATCAATTTTTTTTTTTACATATTTTATATTTTCTTTACAAAAGTGAGGATCAAAACAATTTTTTATAAAACTTAAAATCAACATTTATAAAAAAAATAAAATTATACATGATAAATGTATTATATATAGCCCTTAAAAGAATGGTCATTGATTAATGTCAAATTTGATGATAGAGATAAGTGATTGTAGATTTTAAAATAAAATAAGAAGTGTTTGTAAATAAATATTTTTTAAAAAAATAATTCTTTAAAAAGGAGGTAAGAGTTGCTTATTTAAAAAGTTAAAAAAAATAATTTTTTTTAGAAAGATATAAAAAAGAGAAAAATACTTTTTTTAATTAAAAACGGTTTTTATAAGAAAAAAAATTAAACAAGCGCATCCTATATATTGATGATTATCTTAAAAATAATATAAACAATTTTTAATTTTTAAATTAATAACAATATTCTATAATCTTTCTATTAATGAAAGAAGGAATGATCTAGCCGGGAAAATATTTTCCTGCTAAAATCCATTCTTCTCTTTTTCTCTTATTTTTTTCAGTTTTATTCTTATTATTCAAACTAAAACTTATTATCTTTCTATTTCTTGACTTCTATATATTTATTTATATGAGTATTTTTATATTTATTATTTGTATTATATTTTACCTGTTTTTATATTCATTATTGTTATATTTATGTGATCTATAAGATTATATTGTCAATCTCCTATTTTTTTTCTTTTAAAGAATTTCTTTTCACTTACTTTCATACATTTTTATTTTAATCAATTTTATTATAATACTATTTTGTAATATTTAAAATATCTGGAAAATTTTTAAAAATCTTATTATTCAAACTAAAATTTATTCTATTTTTCATTTCTTGACTTCTATTTATTTATCTGTGTATCTATCTATTATGAGTTTTTTTATATTTAGTATTTGCATTATATTTTACCTATTTTTATATTCATTATTGGAATTATCTATTTTTGTAAATATTTTTAGTAAAATGAAGAATATATATATATATATATATATATATATATATAAAAGACTATATCCAATTTAAATACTTCTATTTCAACTTTTGTATTCTATTGTGGCTAAATTAATTACTATTGACCTAACTAAAAAATTTAAAAAATAAATAATTTTTCCTTCCTTTTTTTTATGCCAAGAAAAGATGAGAGAGAAGTACATAAAATAATTATTATATAAAATATAAACATCAAACAATCTATAAAAAAAATATATGAAAGTTTTAATAAATAAAGGTTTCTACATTTAAAATAAAACATTAAAATATTAACATATCAACCTTGTATATTTAATCTATAATATATTTATGCATAAAAAAGACTAAAAGTGACAAAAGTGCAATATATTCTAAATAGAAAATATACTAAATTTAATATTTATTACTTATATTTATTTATTAACAAAATACTAAAATTAT